TCTCTCAAATATAAAAGAGAAATCTTTCATTATGAAAATAAAATCATAAGAATCATATTATAGCCAGATTTTTTTAAGGTAACCATTTCTTATGAAAATAAAATCATAAATCAAATTTAACCTTCAAAATGAGAGTAGATAACCAAGGGGAAACGAGAGGACGAGAAAAAAAAAGATAAGTTTTCAAATTTGCGAACATTGGCTTCTTTTATAAGTTTATTTTGTTATCTCACGTGAAACAATTCCGTTGGTGCAAAAAAAAAATTTTTTTCTCATAGCAGTTACGCGTAATGAATATTTTTTGTTAGTAATTAAATGAAACAAAATACATGTAATTTAAATCATGTGACTTTGAATAAACCAATTGGCATAAATTAAAATTTTTAATTGAACATTTATTATCATTATGTTAAATCTAAAGGAAAATATAAATCAACAGGTTGAAACGATAAAAGAACAAATTTCAGTCGACCAAACTGAAGCTTCTTTAGTTTCTTCTTTCGGAACGTTAAACACCAAAGACATAAAACTTAAAAAGGATTGGTCAAGTGTTCGTGACGTTCGAGAAGGAGCCGAAGAAACCCAAGTATTTGGAACTCGTACCTTGGATAAGAAGGACAACGTATGGAATCATAATGCTTGGTTAGTAAACTTTTTTTTTTAATTTTTAATTAAATACTCGTATCAATCATTAATCATTATCTTTATTTATTTCTTAAATAGGGATAATGTAGAATGGGATGAAGAACAGGAAAAATCAGCACAAGATAAAGTTCGCAAGCAGGCTAGTAATCCTATGCCGCTTGAAGAACAAGAAAAGTATCATCAAGAAGCTGCAGAATTTTGGAATACTTTTTATCGCCATAACGTAAATAAATTCTTTAAAGATCGTCAATGGTTGGGAATTGAATTTCCAGAACTTATTGCAGCGACGAAATTAAACGTTTGTACTCGATTTTTATATATATACATTTATATTTTTTATACATATAGTTCACATAGTTTATAAATAATAAATTAATAAATTAGGAAGGTCCAAAGAGAATTTTCGAAATAGGATGTGGTGCCGGGAATGCTTTGTTCCCATTATTAACAGAGAATGAAAACCCTGAGCTATTTATTTATGCCGGCGATTTTTCTTCGAATGCTATTGATGTTGTTATAGTAAGTTATATTTATTCATATTTATTTATTCCAAAAAATATATTATATAATATATTATTACGCGATATATTTATCTTCTCTTTAATTCTTTCTTTAGAATAATAAAAACTATGATCCTAAAAAATGCAAAGCATTTATTTGGGATTTGACTAGTACGGAAATACCAGAATATATTAAACCAGCTAGTTTAGACTTAGTGGTACTTATTTTCGTTATGTCAGCTATACATCCCCAAGATTGGAATCAAGTTGTGAAAAATGTTTATAAAGTAAAAAAAAAAAAAAAAAATCAAAAAATTTTTGTTAATTTAATTATTGTAATTTATTATACACACATAGATTTTTACCAAGACTTTTACGTGAAATTTTTTTTTGCAGATGCTTAAACCAGGCGGTCTTGTACTTTTTAGAGGTATGCTCTATTATTATTTCTTTATTTTTCTTTGTTTTTGAGTTATGAAATATTTTTTTAAAAATATTTTTAATAGATTATGGTAGATATGATATGGCACAATTGAGATTTAAAGAAGGTCGAATGCTTTCGGATAACTTTTACGTTCGTGGTGACGGTACGCGAGTATACTTCTTTACCTCAGGTAAAAAGATTTGAATTTATTAAAAATATATTATATATTTATTTTTAATACTCCATCGAATACTTATCAAATACTTACGTTTGAATTATAAAAAGAGGAAATCGAAAATTTATGGGGCACGAAATTTATAATTGAGCAAAACGCTATAGATAGAAGATTAATAGTAAATCGACATCGGAGACTCCAAATGTATAGAATTTGGCTTCAAGGGAAATTTAGAAAATTTGATAAATAATAAATATTAATTGAAATAATTTAAATTGTAAAATCTAATAATAATATTTAATTTAAAATTTGAATATACATTTATCATTTTCAAAAAAAAAAAAAAATCTATGGTAGATAAACATATGCTGATGAATAACTAACGCTACTATCATCTTCGTGAGTCACATTGCTGGATTGAGAATAATGCACAAAACGAATTCGAGGTTTATTTTTGTCAAATTCTGAAGACTCCGCAGTAGTGGTGGTGGTAGTAGTAGTAATATCTGTAGTTAATGATTCAATTGCACACAAAAGTATACTAATGGGATGTCTTCCACAAATAGTGTTTTTTGTTCTTGACAAATAAGACACAAATTCTTTATGATTTATTTTTTCTATAATGGACATGCCTTCACGATCAAGATTTTCAATGGATTTATGTATTGGAACGGTGAGAGGCACTTTTGATCTACGAGTAAGAAAGACACTGGTTTCTGGTGAATCAGAATAATATGTGTATTCAAATCGATGTCCCCTGGAATTTTGAATAAAGTAGGTTAAAAAATAGATTCAACCAAAATTTAAAGTTCATTTTACTATAAAAAAATAATTATAATCTTACCAATGACAAAAATCTGAAGAAATAATAAATAGATTTGATGGGTCTGCAAGATATGGACTAAAGAATTTTCCATAGAATGCTTCTTTAGATGCATTCAATGATCCAACTAAAATAGGTATAATCCTGATTGAATCAATTTTGCTACAAAGTTAAAATAATATAAAAATGCAGATTATGTTAGAAAAACCAAAAAATAGGTATTTAATATATTTAATTAAAATGGAGGAATCCTTTTCTTTACTTTTCCAAGATCTTGTAAGTAAATGGAAGGTGCATCTCAATACTGTGTTCCTCTTCATCAGTTTCTCGAGTCATTTCTTCAAAATGACCCGTTTTACGTAAATCATTTATCACTACAAAAATTTATAAAAATAATTTATAATTTATTTATTCAATGAAAATAAGAAGTGATAAGAAAAAAGAATTGTTTACCATCAGTATCCAAAGTCAAGTTTCCCAATGGAGTCTGATATTGGGTAAATTTTGAAATTGCACATCCGTTGAGATATACATGATGAGAAGGGCCCAAAATGAAAACGCGTTTTCTTTAAAAACAAAAATGATTTAAAATCGATTGTCTTGTCTTAAGCTTATACATTTGGCAATCGAACTTACACAAAATCTTGATCAATGCATTTGTAAGCGAATGCTGCGGCCTGACCACTATAGGTATACCCAGCGTGCCTGAAATAAAAAGAGAATATAAACAATAATTGTTCATAATATAATTTAAAGCAAAAGGCCATTTTTCAAAACTTACGGTGCAATTATTGCACGAGCTCCTGGAACCGGAATAGGGTCCTCAGTAGTGGCTGGAACATTTCCTAACCATTGCTCAAGTTCTTTATTCAGATAAGAGCCTAGACACATTAATAATTCATATTAATAATTATTTGGGAAATATTTTTTAAAAACATAATACGCTTTTAGTTAACAATATCACCTTGATCATTATACCAAGAGCCGGCATGATAAGCGTTTCTAATCATTTTTTTAATCGTTTAATCAGCGAAAAAATATTTAAATATTAAATTTCACTTAAAATTTTTGTGTAACGCATGTTGACGTGAAATACACGAATATGTATAGTCGATGTCTAAGTTGAAACTAAGAGTTCGAGTTCCTCTTCCTCTGTTTCTCAACGGCAATCAAAACGCCCCTGCCAAATAATAGTCAATTCGTGAAAGCTTCATTTAATGAAAGTGAGAACTCTTCGGCCCTCAACGGTGGCAATCAGAACACCTTGCCAGCGCGCTATCCTCGCCAGAGAAGAATCGGGGCTTACAAGAGCTACTAATGACCTTATTAGTACTAGTTCTAGATCGTTCCAGTTTTCGTTCTAGTTATTAATAAAGGATCTCCCTCCTTCGACAGCTAAATTTACAACAGAAGATATGAATGCATTAATGGCAACCTTCATATTGGCTTCCAGCGAGAATGAAGTTATACCAGATATTGAAGGTAAAAAAGCTACTTTATTTCAACAATCCTCTGATACTTATAATTCAAATATTGTCTAGTCACGAGCCTTCTGAATTCATAAATTCTCCTAAACATCAAATGTGATATTCTCAAAAAGAAAAACATTGATGTTTGCAAAACTTGATGAAATTTCAGATGGATATGTCAAATCATTCATTAAGAATCGACATAGAGTTGTCATGAATTCAAGTCTCGATATAGGCACTCATTAGTCAACTCGCATTTGTGACTTTGATTATATTTTAATAATTTCTTAAGTTTGCATCATATTTAAATTTATAATCAAAGAACATTTACAAGTTATCCATTAAGTTGAAAAGAATGAAATTGTTATTATATTCGCAGATGTTTATAACTAATTAATTAATAAATTAAATAATAAAACGTATAAATTATACATTTTTACTTTCTACAACTGCTTCATCATTAGATTATCCATTTGATGTAATATCGTCATCACTTGTATCTTTAATCCCTAATATTACAATGTATGTACAAGGAATTGAAATTGTCAAAAGTACCCAGCATATTAAAAGTTCAACTAAAAAGTTCGTATTCACAGCATCAATTCTAAAGCTTATTGCTCCCCCCGCTGATTGAATAGATTTATAATACCTAAAAAGAGAAGAGAATATTCAGATAACAAAATTTAGATAATATTTTTTTTTAATATATTAAAGATTGAAGTTATCTTATTTTCTTTACTGTACCCTGCATATTTTGACAATAAAGACACATCGTTTGTTTGAGCTCCCATGACCCAATATGCATAACACTATTTATATGAATATAATTAAATAATCATTAAATATGAATATAATTAAATAATCATTAATTACGAATTTTATCTCGAATTTTATAAAAAAAAAAAAAATAATAAGAAATACATACTTGATACATAGCATCATTCATTCCATAAAATGTATAAAGTATTAATACTTCGATAAATCCCGAATCAAATATGTCCTTTTGAGTTATTTGATCAGTACGTTTAAAAGTTAATTGAAAAAATAATCCACCAATCCAATTCGCAGTTATTGTAATTGCAATGATTAATAATCCATAAATTCCACGAGTCTTTCGTGATAAATTGTTTACATCGAGGAATCTACCGAAAATTGTGGCACTTAAGATTTGAACAGCCCAATACCATAGATTGTTAAAGGATCTTGTACGAATATTGAAATAAAAGGCGTTTACAGCATTAAACTTTTATATCAATAACGATAATAAAAGATATCAAGGATGTAAAAATGTAAAGATGTAACGATGTGATGTATAATGTAATGATGTAGCGATGTGTGTTAGTCATAAAAAATAAATAATGAAATATTATAAATATTATAAATAAAATAAGTATTAGGTACCTGATACGCGTAATACCAATTGCTTGCTAAAAACATTGGTGTAAGAAGAATAATCTTCCAGTCCAAAAATAATTTTAAAACTCCTATTATTTCTTCCTTCCAATTTGGAAACTTTTTTATATTAATATGTTTTCCATCATCACGAACTACTTTGCTTGGTGGAAGTAAAGTTAGGCATAATAATGCTCCTAATCCCATAAGAATCGTGAATCCAATATAAGTTCCATCATTTACTGAACCGGCCGTGGAATTCCAATTTAAAGCGATTGGAACAATTGAACCAAACACACCACCTTTTATTTAACCATATAAACATGAAAAAACGCGCCATTCAATTTATAAAATATATCTTATAATGTGCGATGTGCAATAATAAATAGCAGTAATTACCTAGACTAAAAATAGCCCAAAAAATACCGATAAATTTTCCTTTATCAGATTCGGTAGGATACGACATCATAATTGCGCCTTGGCCCGTCCAGAGAAGTGCAGCACCTAACAATAATATAAAATAATATTAATTATATAATAATATAATATAATACAATCATAATAAGTCTGATTTAGTCTTAAAAAACTATTTCTTACCTAAACCAAGAATACCACCTGCGAAAATCGGGAAAACGTCACCTTTTTCATTATTATAATATAAAAGAGATCCAGAATATAGTGCATAAGTTATTCCACCTAAGGCCATACATTTTGAAGGTCCAAATTTATTAACAATTGGACCGGCAAATAAACCACCAACCGAGAAAATAGTATACAGTGCTACATTTGCATTTGATGCGACATGAGTATCTAATTGACCTCCTCCTCCCAAACCTAAAAATAATTTTGTAATTATTTAAATTATTTATATATTTTCGAATGAATTACAAAAGAATAAATTTTTTTACCGTTCAAGGCATTAAACATGCCAGCGGTCAGTAAACAGATTATCCCTGCATAAAAAGAAATTAATATGGATTTTTAATTTTAATTTACAAATAATTTTTAATTACCAACGATTAACACCTGAACAAAAGGACTTGAGTATCGAAAGCCCATTTTATTTAGTTTTTTAATAAATTTACGCAATAATTAAATTAAAGCTTGCAGAATTTTTTGCATTATTTTCAAACATATTTAAACATAATTAAACAATTAAACTTGGGGAAATAAATTTTATACAATGGAAAAAAGTTACTCTAATGGCTATTATTTGAGTAACCAGTTGATTGTATTTTTTTACTTCGCTCACGATTTAAGAAACATGAAGGATTTTATAATAAAGTATTTCTATAATAGATAGAATAGCCTTGTTATTGGCTACAAAATGGTATACGTTTCATCCTTATAGCATCAATATTCATGGAATTATTACGGTTTGGAGAAAACCGCCTGTGAAAAATTATGTGAAAATCTCTAAAAATAATGAAATAATTGTATTGGTGTTTGAATTTCAATGTGCGGAATGTGTGCTAGTACAGCTAGCACAAATTTGAAAATTCCGCACAGATTATTGCATATAGAATTCTAAATTATGTAAATTCCACACAAGATTTAAAATTTGAATTTAAAAAACTGAATTGTATGATAATTAAAGTTACAGTTTACAAGGTGTGGAAAATCTCAATTAACCATATTTACAAAAATATATTAAAAAGTTTTTATTATGATGGTAATATAATACATATAATTTCTAGCAGGTTTCAATTTCTATAAAAGCTGTAAAAGTTATAAATATGCCTATTATAGTTTTTTTACCATTTTAAAATTGTTCAATATTAGAGATGTATCAGAAATCATCTGATATAATAGAACTAACTAACAAGTCAAATACAAAAGAATAGATGACACAAAAAGGATTTTGATTTTAGCTGATTTATAATCAATTTTTAGCTAATCTATGATATATGAATTTTAATTTTTAGTTGATTTATAATATAGGAATTACCTCTTTCATACATTTGAATTATTGTTATATATTGTTGAAGTTAAGTTATAAGTATTATGCAATGTCTATAACTTATTTACCTTTGCATATAGTTACAGTTTACTCTTCCTGGAGGTAAGTTTCAAGTATCACATAGTTTTTATGTTTTATTTAATACTGATCAAAATTTGATATATCAGATACCTATTATAGTATTCAATAGGTATTCAATATATATTTTTTGATATATATCAGATACTCAATAAGTGTTATCTTATTTCCTAATATTAAATATTTATTGGAAATTTATCGGTCACATATACTACACATATCGAACATCTATTTTTTAGCTATTTTTTTTATATCAATTGGATATCCAATATTTTTTTATTACACCTATTGGATCTTCCAATACTTTTATTTATTACATCTGTTAGGTACCCGATAAGTGTAGTAGTCATATTGTATTCAAATACTTTTTTCAAATAAATCATACAAATTAATGGCTTTATTTATTACTGTACAAATTTTATATAATTTTATATAATATATATATAATATATCCAAAAACTATTTATTTTTATTAATATAATTATTATTACATATAATAAATGTGTGAAATTTAAAATGTTCTAAAAATATATTATTATAATAAAAATATAGAAAATTTAAAATGTTCAAATATTCTAAAAATATACTATTATTATTACCATTATTATTATTATTATTATTAAATATTCATTATAAAATTATTCATTTTCTTCGACTTTTTTTGTTTTTTTTCTTTTCTTTAATGTTTTGTGATCATGCTTTCTTCTTTTATTTTTTGATGATAATGTTTAATTTCATTTTTTTTTCCTTTATCAATCACAATTAAGTCATTATCATTATCATTATCTTCTTCCTCTTCTTCAGTATCTTGATCATATATTTTTATTTTACTTTTATCTTTATTTTTAGATATTAACACCTCTTCGCTAAGTATTCACGAAGTGACTCCTTTGGAAAAATTTACCTCTCGATAGATCTTTGATACAATGTTTCTAATTCTTGGTTTATTTTGTTTCTTACAGATCTGAACTATGACTGGATCAATTTGTTCATGTAATAATTTTAATAACTAAGAAAAATATATATATTAATAATATATCTAATAGGTGTAAAAAAATATTATTATTATTTTATTTACAGCATCTAATCTCTACCATTTCTCATACATATATATGGAAGTTTTCTTTATGATAAAGGTAACATTATTGTTATTATTATAATTGTTATTATTGTCTAGAGCATAGTTATTATTATTGTTGTTATTACTATCATTATTATTACTATTATTATTATTTTCATTATTGTTTTCATCATCATCATTGTCATCATCATTATCATTATTACTATCATAATCACTATCTATAATTATTGGTCTTGTTTCTGATGATAATAATAATGATATTGTTCTTGTTACTGCTGATGATAATAATGATGTTGTTATTATTGTCATTAATTCTAATATTGTAATATTTTTTTTTATTTTTATTGTTAATTAAAATTAATAAATAAATTTAAATAATAAAAATATTAACTTACCTTCGTCATCTATTTCTTTCCATTCTTCTGAGTAATATCCGATATCATTCAAAATCTTTTCAAAATCTTTCTTTGGATAGCCTGCTTTCTTCTTTTTTTTTCTGTTAAAATATAAATATATATTTACTATACTCAATATATGTTAATTTATAAATTAAAAAAAAAGAACTTACATTACTTATTGCTATATTTTTTGTTGCACATTGATACTACCTGTTGGGAGAGTAAGAGGATAAGTACAACAAGTGCTTGAGTTTAGCCCGGTAGTTATTAGTGAGTTTTAGTAGTATGAAAAGACAAATAAGTATAAAGTAACTAATTTTCTATACTATAGAACAATAAAGGCAAGGAAACTAGATAAAACAAAGAGGTGACAAGTTAAAGGAAGAATACACAGGTCAAAATTTAAATATCGGACATTTATCAGATACCTATCGGGTATCCAATATATTTATAATATCGGGCACCTATCAGATACACTGGTCGAAAATTGATAAAACATACACATATCGGGTACCTGATATGTGCATGGTGTTTCCCTAATATCGAATATATATCGAGTACCCGATAAGTATAGAAAATATTTTATATATATATCGGGTACCCGATAAGTGTAAAAAAATATTTTCTACACTTATCGAATACCCGATATATATCTGATATTAGGGAAACACTATGCATATATCGGGTACCCGATATGTGTATGTTTTATCAATTTTCGACCAGTGATACCTATTGGGGAAGAATAAATATATCGAATATCCAATATAATTGATTATTACTAAGTACCCAATAATTAATTTTGTAAATTTTATCATGTGTTCGATATAATAGTGATAGATATGAGATAATTTTATTATTATCTCAAGTTTTCAATATTGTCTTAAATATCGGATGCATGATACTAAAATAGTAATATCGAGTTGATGTATTCTTATTTTATTTGAGTATACAATATTATTATATACTTATTGTATTAGATAATCTCTTTATTATTTATTATTAAATAAAATAAATTAAACATTAAATCTTTTATTCAATGGAATTATTGAAACATAATTTTTCTTATTCTTATTCCCCACCTGATAGTCTATCTTAATAGCTCGACTATATATTCTATGTACTGCAATAATCAAATCTATACCTTTCTCATAGTATTCTTTTCTCCACAACTCTGTATTTGATACTTTGGGTGTCATAAATTTATGCTTAAATCGAATACTAGAAGAAAACGTATTTTTGTACCATTTAACATAGGCCAAAAGATGTGTTCTTGGTCTATTCGAAAAGGTAAGTATATGTTCAAAGTAATATTGTACCTCTTCAGGATAAATATCACTTGTTCCATCTTTAAAGACCTCCTATTTTGCTAAGATTACTATATTATTTTCATATCGGCCTGCGATTTTGAATTCAAATATTTCATTTCCTATTATTAACCTTATATATTGGTTCATAATTACTTCCATACATGCCGTCACATCTTTCTTTTTTAAATTATATAATGTTGCATACCACCTACATAATCTTTTTTGAACTTCTACTGAAATACTGATCTTTTTATATATAGGTGCTAGTATATATCCTGATATATATTCAGTGTCATAGATCTTATTGGATGTATCATGTCTTAGGGAGATGAAATACTGTAACTCTTCTCTATCAAATTCATTAGTTACAATTAAGTTGCCAGCAGCTTTCTTTGGTGCAAAAAATTGAAGAAACTTCTTCAAGAGACCAGATATCTATTGACAGAAAAGATGATAATTTACAAGTGAATTTTTGAAGACTATTTTCATAACACTGGTCAAAAATTGATAAAATATACATATATTGGGTACTCAATATATGCATAGTGTGTCCCTAATATCAGACATATATCGGGTACCCAATATGTGTAGAAAATATTTTTTTACACTTATCAGGTACTTGATATATATATATAATATTTTCTACACATATCGGGTACCCGATATATGCCTGATATTAGGAACTAAAGTTCCCCATGAGCCTTA